GAGCAAGATCACCAGGCACTGACAAGCACAGATGACTTCAGAACAAGTCATGTGAATTGAGTCAGGACACTCCTGCTCTGGCAGAGGCTGGAGTGTGTCACCCACGATGCCCTCGCAAATCTTGAGCAAATTCTTGGCGGCCGCGGGCTTCTCAGCTGAAGCTGCATCAGTCACAAGGTTGAAGAATTCATCGCATCCGAAACTGCTGAGAAACTGCGTAGTCAAGACCTTGGCTTGGCATTTCTTTCTTGCTGCATTTGTCAAAAAAAGTAGGAAGAAATGTAAATTGAAAAGAAGAACTCCGGCCCCATTCTCTAGCAGCCCTAGGCCCTAGCCTATGCAACCTGTTGCACTGCGCTCTGCAATGACTGCGCCTGCGCAGTATGCGCTACGCTGCTATAATCTGCTATATATATACTCTCTCTCTCTCTCTATCCCTCCCTCCCTCCCTTCCTTTCAGCATGCCTACTTGCTCAGTTGCACAGGTTTCTCAATGCGGTTGAGCTGCCTCCATGTCCTCCTTCTCGCGCTCATCTTGTGCTGCTTCCTCCAAGGTGCAGCCTATGTACGAGTCAGCCACACTTGCCAAAAGACCAGCAAAGGTTGGATTTTTGACCGTCCACGGGCTCAGTGGCGCGTTGGGGGCTTCCTGGGCGTAGAGAGCTTGCCAAAGGCCAATCACCTCGACCAGCTCCTTCACCTTCGCACTTGACAGCTCTTGAGTCCTTGCCTCGTTGAAGATGTCACTCAGAAAGGCAGCCGAGTGTTTTCCCTTGATGTCTGGCGGCAGACTGTACTTTTCACGCTCAAGGGTCTCCAGGGCTGTGATTCTCTCTCGCTTTGGCATCTTCTCCATGCCAGGGTCCACTCCCAAGGAGAAGGCGTAGGTGCACATCCTCAAGGTATGCTCCAACAGCTTGTGCTCCCTGTAGCCCTTGGTCTTCATGGTCTGAAGGATCTTCTGAGCCTAGGGTCATGACGTGGGTAGATCACCACAAAGTTGTGTTGGCTTGACTTGATTCTGGTACTCTGGTACATCATTGCCGGTTTTCAATGTCCACAGTAGCCGGTACAATAAATTGCGTTGCATCATCTTCACCCTTTTTTGGCGGAAACGTGAAATATTACTATAAAGGAGATCCCCAAAATGGTGTCTAAGACCCCCAAAATGGTGTCTAAAGGTCTGAGGCCTAGAGGGGTAGAAGCAGAAGTTCTAGAGATCTACACGCATTGGGCGGTGCTGGTAGTGTTGGTGGCGATGACGGTGGTGGTGATGATGGTGGCGATGGTTCACCAACTCGGTTTAGAATCTAGAATTGAGGGTCCAGATCTAAATCTAGGGCTGGAGGTTGGTCAGGTCGTGTATTCACATGGAGAAAAGACACTCAAGACTCAACATCCTTTTGATAACAAGCCTGGAGACTGCATCCAGTGAGCGGCCACACCTGGGCTTTGAGTTGAGAATGGCTTGTGGGTCAAGCATGTAGAAACACGCAAGTGTAGTGCCATACTTCTCTGCGCAACGCCGCAGCTCGTCCGATAGCTCCCCTTCATCACCGGCACCGCCAACGACGGGTTCAGCTGAATCCCGGCTCATTCCTCCAACTGCACTCTCGCTCTTTGCGGCCTTTCGGCCCTTGGTTGCCTTTGGTTTGGCAGCGCTCTCTTGTTTGATGCCTCCTTTCACCTCTCTGACTTCCACCCCAGACTCACTGCTCTCCTCGTCATAGTCTGACTGCTCATCACGCGGATCCAGAGCTCTCCTGGCAGCCTCCACTTTGGCAACCCTTTCATCTTTCTTCTCCTTCACCTTTCCAATCAGTTAGTCAATGATTTTGAGGTGCTTGATGCCTGCAGTGTCTTTGAGCCCAGACGGAAGCTTTTCATGGTGCGAAATCATTCCATGAGCATGTACCTTGGCAGGCTGTCCATCGCTCAACTGTCTTGCTGCTTCCACCAAGCAAGCTTCATGGCTCAGAATCTGCGCGAAAGACACCTTCATTTTGCGCACGCTGGCAATTTCGTGGCACGGTAAATTTCTCAAGCTGATCACAAACAGCTGGACGTCTTCTTTGCCCAGGTGGTCACTCAGGGGCACTGCCTCAAGGCCAGAAGCTTTCAACTTCTCTCCTTCGTCAAAGTTTGTCCCGCCCACACGGACCATCAAACCCTTCAGCTCTTGCTCGGTGAGCACCCCCCACCTCTACATAGGTTTCAATGGCTGCAGCCTTGCCCTTGTTGACATTGGTCCGGGTCTGCACATCAGGATGAAGGTCGTGTTCCCTGTTGACCTCCACTTGCTTTGAGGCTTTGCTCAGATCTGCTTTGGCACTTGGGTCGCTATCACACCTTGATCGTGGATGGATCGTGAAAGGCAACAACTTGGGAGCTTGAGTGGTTTGACTCAAAGTTGAAAAACTATATATATATAGTTTTATAAAAGCAAGAGAAAAGTTTGCAGCCTGAGGCTGCTGGCCAACCAATACATACATTTGCGCGCCCTCAAACTATGGTGTCAGACCGCCAAGCCGTTAACTCTCGACAATGACAAGGACAACCCCTTTTTACTCTCTAGAAGTAAACGGCCAAGTTCTAGCAGTGGTGTCCGAAGTAATTGAGTGAACAAAAAAAAGCTAGCAGTAGCAGCTAGCAGTAGCGGCTAGCACCTACTCATACGGTGGTCGCATTCTTGCCTAGCCGCTTCTCACATACCGCAGCCCAACCTTCTCCAGGATACAAGGACTGGCCTGCCGACACGCAGTCTCAAAGCACGCATCAAAGACTGCAGTCCCTTCTGCGTCTTGAGGAGCCATAACCACTTTCGAGCCATTGTCCTGCTTTGAAAGCTGCGCGTTTCAGCTGTGGCCGGAGCTGGCAATTGCCACACGGGGCATTCAGAAAGTCCTAGTCTTACTGTCTTACTACTGCACCACAAAGAATAGAGTCGCAAGATTATTTGAATGCACCCTCTCACCCATCCTATTGAAGCGGAACTACCAGACTAGGCTCGCCAACCTTGTCTTGCAAGATTCTGAAGGGACAAGCCATCCATGCAGGCCTCAGCCGCCTCAGCCAGCAGGCTTCCCTTTTCCCCTCCCCTTCCTCAGGGTGGGCGGGTGGGAAAGCTGCGGCGCAGGCACAAACCTGAAGAAGTTGGGAGCAGCCAGCTGCAAACATCCAGCAAGCTGCAAGCTGCCCCAACTAAACAAGGCCATATCATGCCAGATCTATAGTTTGTTAGGTGGGAGGGAGGGTAAGTCGGGCAAGTGTTCCTGTCAACTAAGAACACCAGCACAAATTGCACCAATAGAAAGCGGATCGTTGGAGGTGTACAGTTGCAGTCTAAGGCCTCAAGTCGTAAGGTCCTAAAACTTATTCATTCATACGTAACGTTAAAAAAAAATAATATATATATATATATAGTGAAAGTGCTTCGTAGGACCTTTCAAAGGCAATGTACATGCACATATTATGGGCGCTTGCTTTGCCTCGATACCTTTACATCTCTCAGAAAGGTACAGCGCCTAGCCGCCCAGGTACTCCCGTCCTTCGTGCCCTTAGGATTTGCACCACACAAATAGCAGTTGCTGAACCTCTTCCGGCGTTTTGCCGGCTCTGCTTGTTTGGATGACCGCATTGACACCGCATCAGCTTCGACCGCTGATGATGATGCCTTGCCACCACCAGTCGTGGTAGATTGGGCAGACGTTGGAGCGGAAGATTGCGATGGCTTTCGCCTTTTGGCCTCAGACTGTATTGCGCCGTCCAAAGTGTCTGGCACCTGGGGAAAGACAAGGTGAGAAGGTCTCAGTGCTGTGGCACTGTCATCTTTCAATGAGAGGCAGCCCAGTATGTCTGCATGTCAAAAAAGACACCTCAAGCTTTGGAGCACTACCTACCTACCTACCTCTTTCTTTCCCAAGTAGGTAAAGCAGGATAATATATACATATATATATATATATTTGTGCGATTTGCAAGTCGAACTACAACGCAGTCATCCTGACTGCCCGGCCTCCTCTTCCGGTTCTTTCTCGATTCCCTTGTCCCGCTTTCCCATGGCGAGGGCAACCAAGCCACAGGTCGCAGCCAGTGACCGACTAGTGACTAGTTACTCGACTTGCTCCTCAAATCTCACAGCTTGAAATCAACCGTGACTGAACACGTCTCGGATTAGGCTCAGCCAAGCCAAGCCTAAGCAGCAAATTCTTGCGCAGGTGCAGGTACACAGCAAGTCTTCTCATAAAACACATCAGCAGAAGGCAAAAGGGCCCATGGGCCAAAGGCTTAGGTCTAGGTTTAAGGGAACCTTCAACAAACATCAACTAATTAGATCAGATAAGACTGATTGACATAGTCATGGCAACCCAGCGCCATCGAGCGCTCACATCTGACAGGCGACGACATTTTTCCAGCGTCTAGTCAGAGTCTAGTCACGTCAATCTAGTCTGCATTGGGATCAGTGCACGGGCACAACTAGCGCGCTGAATTGAGGGCGTGCGAAAAAAAAAACAAGTCACTCGCGGCACTCGCGTACCGCAAGTCTCTTCCACGTGAAAAAAGTCAGAAAGCCCATCCGTCATGGAATACCTGAGCGCACCATTCCAGCTTGCTTGAATAGCTTCTGCTGATCAAAGGAACAGGAGCTGTTGAAGGCTCACTGAATTTGGTCTTTCACTAACTTTCTTTGCAAACATCCTCAAAAAAGGTCTAGTGACTAGTGACTAGGCAGACATAGGTCTAGTCTAGTAACTAGTCTACAAACTTACATAGTAATAGTAGGAGATAGTAGTAGTTACAGCAACTTGTCAGGAAGACAGCGGATGAGATTTCAAGAGTGCTTCCCGCCTCTACAATCCCTGACTCAGACAAGTTTCCAATCATGGCAACAAAGATGGCCACGCAAAATCATAGACACTAAGTCTCACTAAGTCACCAATGTGACTAAGACCTGACGGCGCATGAGTAGCGATTAAGCCCTGCCGCCAGGTTGCTGAGAGCCGCAGTGAAATTGCCACCGCCAATCAGCCCGGGCTGCAATTGGATCAGGCAACCTTCTCAGGTCCGAGGTCCTAGGCCCTGAACTCAAGGAAACTGTCGTGCCAAAAACAAGCACCACACTATCAGGCCAACGCATGGCACCGCCATCCCTTCTCCGGCAAGGTCTCTAAGAACATGGTCCTTGATGTCACCTGGTACCACAAAGGCCTTCGGCTGGCCCTGCATGTTGAGCATGTCACGGCCAACAACTGCTGCATCCTGATCATACGAATACAGCAAAGTCGACGTTGTCATCGTCGGGAGTGCCTTGCTCTGACAGGAAAATGTCTTGCGCTCTAGTGCCTGAGAGAGATCAACAAAATAGCCTTTCAAGTGATTTTTGATCACTTTTGGACCACAACTCTGCCCTTTGCAAGCTTGAATTGCAACTGCGTTGAGAATGCTGAGGTGCCTAGGGGTCTTTGAAACACCTCGCCCCCGGAACTCTTGTCTGGACGTCCATGGGTTAAAGTTCTTTGCGACGCCCCACTGTCTGCGAAACGCCCGATCATGTTGCGACCACCTGGGATTCTCCTGGTCACGGCCAGCTGATCTCCGTTCCTGAGGCAGCAAAGTGATCTCAAATAGAAGATCACTGGTAGAGTGAAGGACTTTTGGAGAAGAATTTGGTGAATCTGTAATTGGCGACGTTGGGGCCAGTTAGACATCCTAAACGATACAATATATAGTATAATAGTGCAAAGAGGTTGGTGGGTGGATCCAGATATGATATGATTAGATTGGAATTCCAATGGTTCCAAAAATATGATTGGAGTCATTGGATGGTTTCTCACCTTGCGCAGTAGCTGTGAGCCACTGGGTGGACTCTACACTCTACACTACACCCGTCCAAAAAAGATCTGGGGTGTCTGACATCTACACGGTCCCTGAGGTTTCTGCACTCAGCCGGGCTTTCTACCGCACTTTCT